TGTGGTTTTGCGACGGCTCTTATCGTGCAGTGAGCCCTGCCGACAGAGAACAACCGAGTGACAGTACCGCTTCTGCTAACACCAATGAGAATTGAGCCATGGAAACGGATAGCACCCTTCCTCTCTTCTCAGACCTCACACTCACTAAGAGCTATATCCAAGGCGAGGGTAAAGTCGAGTTGATGATTTTATAACATTTATAGGTCAAGACGATGGGGGCGGGGGCATTTCTTAGTTGATTATAAAGCATTTCTTACTTTCGAAAACAAAGGGATGCGAAGATTTGCTTTGCAGTAGTTTGCGTGACAGAAGGAGAAGACTGCTCGATCACTGGAACAGTTTGTTTATTATTCTGAACTGTCATCACCAGAGGTAGCAGCGCCTGCAGCAGCAAAAAGACGACAATTATAGGTGACGGGGGAGTGATAACCAAACAATTATCAACGATGCTCGTCTCGCGATGACTGCACAGGGCTCTCTACGCCGGCGCCAAACCGATACACCGACTGACTGAGTTCCCCTCGGTGTCCTAGGTGTTAGGAGTAGCCCAACGAACAGCTAGCAGGCAGCTAGCATACATGTAGAGAGCCATGATCACGGCAGGCTTTCGATCGGCCTACACGCGTTGAACGCATACTGGCAGTCAATCACTCAATAATTTAAAATTCAACCTGCAGTCAGCCGTCGAGTCACAAGCTACTCGTGTCGCTACCCACGCCAAGGCAGAAGCTGATTGGCCAAATGTACATAGCTTTACACGCGTTTGTTGCCCTAAATAATTTCTATCTATTATGCTCAAAGGCTTCTGTTTTTGTCAACTTCTTGTCGTATACTTAGTTTGGGGCTCACATTAGATATAATTAGGCAGTGAAATCCCGGCTTGACTTCCGTTACAACACTAGGCATTAATTATTTCTCAGTTCACGTCTTGTTTCCGGTGTGGATGATTAGCTTGATGACTACAAAGCTGTAATCATGGCCTGTCTCGCAGTTGAGGGCGGTAATTTGTCCTGCCGGTGCAGAGCTAGCTGATGTTTATGTAATCCCGATCCGAGCATGCGTTTAGTATACCGACTTTTGTACGAGGAGAACTTAGGCGAGGGATGCGATACACTACCTCAGGTTGCTTTTTGTGGAAACTGGTCGGTCTTTGATGTTCATCACTTTACTGCGCATGGTAGTTTTGGTCTGGTGTGCAATTCCAACACCTATTTCGGCATAGATGCTCTCAGTCGTTTCTGAGACCGAGCGCGTCATATTCACATTGGTGTTTTTGTTTGGGTTTTCTAAGGTCGAACGTGTAGGCATCAGCTTATAAACACATTCGGATAGCCATTCCGCATAAATTGGTCGCGGAGATATCAGGCTTCGTATACGTAGTCTTTCGGCCTGCTCTATTGAGTCGGAATCCGTTTGAAGGGTGTTTTCACACAGCTTTTTTGTGAGCCACCGGATGGTTGCTGTGACAGCCGAAGGCTTATGTCTAGTTTGTTGCTTTTCCATAAACCATCGTCTAATTTTTACTGTCGAGTTGTGCAAGACTTCATGCACCACATTTGGCAGACTAGGTGTGTATAGCAAGGTTACCTCTGCTGAAGAACGGTTGACAATAAAAGTTCAGACTTCGAGATCTGTTTTCCCCCTTACATTAGTTCTTTTTTCTTTCATTACCGTGAGTGAAAACCCTAGGTGCACCAGCAGCCTAGCCTTAGTTACTAAATCGGTGAATTTTGTTCTTTTTTTTCGTAAACCCTCTGAAATGAGTAAGAAAAGGGGACCATACAAAATCAAGGGTTTATTCCATCGCGATAAAAACTTAATTATACAGTTCTTCCAAAATACTTACCCATGAAAAGAGCGAAGCATGTAATTAGCCACTTCTGAGTATATATTTTCAACACGCTTAGGGGTGTGGGGACGTTTGTTGTAACGTCAGCGGGCAGTACTGCAACACATGACTGCAACTGTCTAATTATAGGTTGAAACTGGGTAATAGTTAAGTTGTTTGCCCACCTTAGATACCCATAGTCTCCAAATTTTGTCCTTTGAGAGCGGTGGTCTCAGTACAGTCTAGTTTTTAGTTTATTATTAACTTAAATTTTCGTTTTAGTTTGGTTACATTTTTTTAGCTCAACTAAGCTTATTAAGTTAACTTTAGATAATACATAGAAGTTGCATAAGTACACTTTTCTAACGTTGGAGGTATCAAAATAAACTAAAATCAAAATGTAACTATATCTACAGTTAATCTAATAAGATAACTTATT